TTTCATATTCCTTCCATTTGCCTACCTCAGATCTCATACATTTTTCTCTTTTTCAATGATTTCGCTGATGAATTTCCATTTCCACTCCAGTTCGTCTTTTTATATTCCTTTCAATCATCCACGAAAGCAGTCATCGAGTGCTAATGACCTTGAAAAATATTTTCATTTCATTTCTCCTTCATCCATTATGCTCTACTAAATTGTTTTTGTTGTGGAATTGGCTGTATCGGTATTTTTTGATGTTGTGTTATTGTTGGTTTGGCTTTCATTGTTATGTCGGCAGTTGATGATGAAAATTACTCTAATCGCTGCTTTCCTTCTTGCTTGATACTTTTCTGTTATTATTTGTGATTATCAAGAGATGAGATGTTGTTATTTTGAGCTGCCTTGATGACTTGTGAATCGATTATGAAGAAAGGACGTCATAAGAGAGTTGATTGTGCTTTGGTTTTGCGGTTGATGGATTTAATCTTGATTGAAGAGAAGAGTAACAAGTGGCAGAAGAGAAATGAACGAGGGGATCAAAGGAAGCAAGGGATGGAAATCCAGGATGGAGACAAAATCTAAATAGATTCATTTAATTTTAGATAAATCAACAAAACAGCAAAATTTCCACGAATTTATCTCATCTTCAACTTAATTTTGTTTTTCTTTGGAATATTAATTACCTTTGTTTGTTGTTATTCTCTCAAAAGTTGTTTTTCTTTAACTTCTTATCTCAAACTCTTAATTTGTTTCATCAAAACATTTTTTTTCACTGTTTACAATTGCTTATTTATACATGGAAAATCCTTTAGCTCTTCTGCCAAAAATCTCATTCCACTTCGCGGAATTGTTCAAGTCTGAGAGGAAATTTGATTACAAAGATTTTCCATTTAAAGTTGCCTTAAGTGCTCTTTTAATCTGTTTTTAGCATTTAATTTGGTACAATGAGATGGATTGTTACTCAAAGCCTCAATGTGAATGCAGCTGAATTTAGAACCTGATAGTGTGAACTTAGTAAAAAAGTGTAAATGTGCCTGAATCTGGTATTACTAATGTAAAGACACCTGAACCTGAGGGCACTAGCGTAAAGGAACATTAACCTGTTGAGACTAATGGAAAGGCACCTGAACCTAATATCGATATTGTAAAAACACCTGAATTGGAGATGCTAGTGTAAAGGCACCTGAACCTAGAATTTTTGAAGCGAAGGCATCTGAACCACAAATTCTATTGAATGAACCCTAAATAAGCGCGCCATACCAAGCGATACCAATAATTGCTCTATATCTTTCCACTCTACAAAATTTTCCGCTTCAACGGCATTAAAATATCAACAACAATAGCAACAAAGGACACAATTTTTTTTAATTGAGCATAAAAACTTTTTCTTTCTCATTACAATTTAAAGGCAAACAAGGCTCAAGTGTCGCTCGTTTTTTTCTTGCGGAAGAAGAAAGGCAATTTGTTTTGCGTAATGAAAGATGATGAAAGGCCTGGAAGATGAGCTTAAAAAAGAAATTGAAAGCACTTTTTTGTTTTCAATCCTTTCAAGTCACAAGAAATCTTTTTCAGTTCTTTATGTTTCGGGAAACCTTTTTTGTGTCGCTTTTTAAGTGATTTTGGCTCTTGACTGATTTTTTCTTTATGACAATTATGAAAGTGGGTTGGGGGTTCTTTAAAGTGAGGGAAGCTAGCTCATGAAACAATGGCTTCGCATAATTGAAAAGTTGATCTAATTGAAAGTTGATCTTGCAATCAGCTTCGAGGTTCTGTAACAAAATCACTTTTTGAAGGTCGTTCTGTTTTATGGATGGTTTCCTGCGTTAATATTAATGCTCGCTCTTATTTCTATTATATTAACGTCTGCTTTGCTCAAAATGTATTTTTATCATGTCGAGAGTCTTTGTGAAGATAATCAATTTGCTCCTTATACTTTGTGGGAAAAGAGGAAAAACTCCAGAAAATTCTATGAATTTTTTATGACGGAAAAATAGAAAAGGGAGAGAAAATTGCTACCAACAATGTGAAAGTGGAGTTTTAGGGTTATTTTGCCAGAATTATAAAGATAAGTTTCTAGCTTTTTCAAGTGTTTGGTTTTTTAAATGTTTTCAAAAATTTAAATTGGTTACGGTTCTCAAAAATTCAAATTTCTACCGATTTTTGAAAAATTCATATTTCTGATTTTTTATTCAATTGGACATACTCCAACACATAAACTGGTCAACAGTAAATTCTCATTTCCTTCAACGACAAAAAAATTTCATCGTAATTAATTTAAATTAATCAAATCTAATTAAAATTTATAACAGACCCTTTTGCTAGAATTGCTGTTCACCTCACTCGCAGCCATTTGCCATCTTGGTTAATTACTGGACATGATTTTAATTGCTGAGGGAGCCGTAAGAGTTCATAAGGATGAGAAGTAAGAGCAGAAGAGATTTAAGTAGTTGTAAATTAAACGTGACAGGCTGAATTGTTGTGAGGAAGTGAACTAGGCATGTACAGCGGTTGAATTGAAAATAAAGCTTAGAGAATTTTTGTGAAGATGGCGCTTGCATCAAAGGCATTAGCAATATTAAATATTATTTTAACTTTAAAAATTCTTTCAATATTTTTAAAATCTCATAAAAATTTTAAAATTTCAACAAACTTTAATTTTTTCCTCTATTATAAAAATCTTCAAATAATATTTTGTGCAAGAAATCATAATTTTTAACATTGCAACTTCCCATCAAAGTTTTCATCTTTGCACAATTTTCAATTCCACTTTTAAAGTCAATGCAATTCAAAAAGTTGAATTTTCTGATGCACTCGACAAAGTATTTATAAAAATTCAAATATTTTGCTTCACTGTTGTCGATCCATTTGGCTGGAAATTCATTTTCACAAGATTTTATTGAATTTTTTACAACTTCTTGCCACTTTTGACTCAATTCTTTGTGATCACTTTCGTAGAATAATTTTAAAAATTCATCAGTTTTTACATTTCCGTCTTCAATGACTTTGGCTTCTTTAAGAATGCAAAATCTTTGACAGTTGAACTGTGGGTATCGAACTTCATTTTTGCATTTGTAGTCGCACTTGCTTAGAATTTGTGGTGGATTATCAATGAATCGAGGATAATTGCAGCAATCTAATGGATGAGTTCCGAGGGTCTCGATGCTTCGGCAGTCAGAGTTTTGGTCTAAAAGCTGGAATTTTAATATTTTGAATATTATATTTATTTATTTTCAACGTTTTTAAATTTTAAATTTATTTAGATTTTTTGAATTTTTTGAGATTTTTGAATTTTTTGAGATTTTTGAATTTTTTGAGATTTTTGAATTTTTTGAGATTTTTGAATGTTTTTTTAATATTTTGATTTTTTTAAACTTTTTGAGATTTTGAATTATTTTTTAAATTTTTTTTAACAATCTTAAAACCTACAACATGATGAATTTTATGGAAAATAATGAGCCAAAAACATTTTAACAACTTCATTTTTAATTTTAAATATTATTTATTGCTTTACTAGGTTTAAAATAATTCAATCTTGATTCATTTAATTCAGTTATGCAAAATATACTGAAAAATATTCCAAAACTGCTGCTACTAAAGTGTCCATAGAATAATAAACACCTGTTCAATATTCATGTTAACATGATGAACACATAATGCTATCAATTATAAACTTGTTCTACACCACCGATAGAATATTTTATCAAAAATTTATTCATTCTCTTCACAAATTTTCATAATGAATTGCATGAATTGTTTAAAAATAGTTTTCAAAATTTTATTAATTTTCGTCACAGTTGTGGTAAATTTTTTAATAAAATTATTTAAAAACTTTTGTAAAATAACCAATTTTAGAGCTGCAAACGCCTCACAGAATCCCAAAAAAAGAGTCAAGAGGCGACTAAAAAATGCCGTGAAGCTGAAAATGCTCAAATTCATCCACTCGACTGCTGCAAATACCCACGATTTTTTGACAACACTCCACGAAATCTTAAAGATTGTGATGTAAACTGCAGAATGCTTCCATATCCTTTATTTTCATGTGTAAGGAACTGCATTATTGAGAGGTATGGCGTATTTACAAGAGGTAATGGCGGATTTCTCGGACCTAACAGAATAACTGAAGCATTTTGTGATCAGGATGAGGTTCCAGGTGAGTTAAAGAGTAGCTTAAAAACTCCTTAAAAAGTATAAATTTTCAGGAATTAGGCAACTCCAACCAATATGGCGTCAAGTCGTGTACAATGCATCATTAGCCTGCTACACAGAATTTCCATTAACACCAGGAAGTACAAGACAACGAAATGTTTCGAGTGAGGAAAGTTGGAACTACTACTACATGAATTACGTCGAGTGTATCAGAAAGAGAAATTTTCTCCAATGCAATTTGATAGACAATCTAGGATGTAAGAAGCTTAGAGAAGCAATTATTCATTGTCATCTGCCTGACTATGAGTTCCTTCATAAATTATTTTTTGAGGATTTTTACTACCGAAACAAGACGGAAGAAGCCAGGCTGAAAAAGCTGAAAGAGGAAAATAAGCCTGATTTGTATAAAGAATCACATAAGAATGACGTGACTTTACCGTCGCCAAAAGATTTGGATTCATCAACGACCAGTGATAATGTTTCGGAAAATAAAAGTGATGTGGATACGGAAAGCACACAAAGTAGTGGAGATACGACAAATGCTAATGATAAAAGTACACAAATTCAAAATGAAGGTTCAGCTACTAAGAATGTTGAAGAGAATGGAAGTAGTAGTCAGGATCCTGGGGTTACTGGTGCAACGTAATGGCGAACTATGATAGACTGGCTTTAATTGAATATAAAGAGGCTCTGAGTCCAAGAAAGATTAAAACATAGAATTTAGATGGAAATTTAGAATAGAAAATTTTTGAACCCCTCTCAAGAGTTTTTCACCCCACACCCCAAAAATTTTAAATATTCTTAAAAATAAATTTTATTTTACTTCCACAACTTTTTGTTCCTTGTAATTAAAACCAAGCACTTAAATCTCATCCAGATTGTCCAAATCCATTAAATCTGTCAAGTTGATCAGCGATTCTGTTCAAAGGCTCCATAATTCCATAATAACGATCAGCAGGTATGCAGTTCCTTCTTAATTCTCTTTCCCATTCACGAAAATTGTCAGTTGCATAAGTATTTTGGACACAGATGTTGTTACCAAAGTCAATGTACCTTAAAGTGTTGAAATCTGAGAATATTGCTGGATGGATGAATTTGATGAAATTGTCAGAAAAGTCAACAAAGATTATGTCTGGATTTTGATGGAATAATAAGCCTGGAAGTTCAACAAGTCGATTTCCTCTGACGTTCAAGTACTGCAACATTGGAAATTTATACAAGTCACCATTGTCTAGTGCCAGTAATCCACTGTTTGTAATCTGTAACTTTTTCAAATTCGGCATTAAATCTCCAATTCCATCTGGCACATATTTGCAAAGTTGTGATGAAATTCTCAATCCACTGACATCATAATCCGAATGATTAAGAACATGACTTCCATTAAATGCGTTAAATCCAGCTCCAGGTCCTCTAACTGTTGTGTTCGTTGAGACACAGTCGTAAGTTGATGTCTGTGTGTCGTAATGAAAGACGCAGTTGAGGATTTGATGTGATGGGACTGGATATTGGAAGTTATAGAGTTGTGGCTGAGATAGAATTGGCGATGTGATGGAAATGATGAGGAGCAGAAGTGGAATTATTGCTTTTTGTTCCATATTTTGATATTTTATCAATTTTATAATATTTTTAGCAGTTTTGAGCTTAAATTTCCACAATCTTAGTTGCTAATAATTCACTAAGCTAGCCTCTAATCACTCAAGATTTCCACAATGTACTGAACATCTTCCTCATCCTAATACAACTTTTATAACATTTTAGTTCTATTTACATAGTATCTGTAGATAAATCTTCTAACCATTGGCAATCAATAAAGTTCATTTGAATTTGAATGAATTGCAATCAGCATGTGTAAATTGACAGTTTATTCAGCCTTTTGTATGAGGTTAAACACATTTTAACGCCTGATTGTTGTAGATGTAACGTAAAATTGGAAAATAATTAAGAAGTTGTTTGATAAACATGAGGAAGCTGAAGGTTGTAAGTATGGGACATTTTGAGCACACCCGTTGATTGGTTTATAAAAATCAACGAGAATAAGAGACTAAGAAATCGTAGAAGTCAAGAGGGGCAGAACTCTAGAATATTAAAATTCTGATGTAATTATTTTTTGTCGAAGGGACAAATCTCCACCTAATCCCTTGATTTACTGCATGTCAACACAAAATTCGCTTATTCATGTACAACTTTTGTTGAACTTCCTCACTTTACACCTGATTTTTATACTGAAAAGTCGGAACTATCTTTATTACATCAATTTCAAACTTGATATGGTTCGATACGCTATTCAATATTGATAACAACATCAACTACAGCACGCATATGAGGTCATTAACTTTTCTTTTTCGCATATGCTTTTGTAAATTTATATGCTTATGCAAGATTTAGCGATCATTAGTAAATGACGTAAATCAAAAAATTAGACAAAATCTGGCCCCACCTCTCGCCCTAAAATGCATTCGTAATATTCACACGACCCCTTTTGAGAGTCATACACCACCAGACCTCCTCCCTTCTCTATGAGTTGAACATCATTTATAAACGACTCCTTAGCTCATTTATTAAAAAATTATTACTTGTCGCAAAAACGGAAGGAAAGTGAAATTTTACTTCAAGTATCTGATCTTGTTTAAGATTGCAAAAAATATGCATATATAGCTTTTAGTTTGTGATAGACTGTTGAAGTAAATAGATTAAAAATTACATTCATTAAAAAGTTTTAAAAAATCCATCAAATTAAAATAAATTAATCAAAAATTAAAAATAGAATCAAGATCCACAGACTTGGACTAAGAATGAGGTAGAAAGAAAAAGTATTTAAATATTTAAAATTGACCATACAAGTATCTACTTGCATGCAAGTTTCACACACAAGTCGCACTTAATAACCTCATATCCACTCAAAATCTCCACATTTCCAACTTTTCCTGCAAAATTAAATATATTTAAACAAATAATTTCAAAAAAGTACCAAAAAAGATAATAGGGGCCACCCGGGTTTGAACCGGGGACCTCTCGATCTGCAGTCGAATGCTCTACCACTGAGCTATAGCCCCGAATACTTGTACAATCTCGGAATTGTCATCTTCTCCATTTCAGCTAGACATGTGACACGTTATCGTTTATTATTGAGTGAAATTTTGATCATTGTTCAGGTTTTTGCTTGTTTTAAGTTTTTGGGTGCTATGACTCATCAATGCTGAAGAAAAATATTTTTTTTTGTTCTGGAAATTTTTGAGTATTTATTAATTTTCTTAATATTTTTTCAGGCATTTGTTCAACACAGTCCTTTTAATCATTAACCTAATCCATCTATCATCAGCATCAGACAACCCTTATCCATTCCCACTGCTGAAATCCCAGGGACAACTCCCTTCATGCCATAATCAGCTGATCCTCAAGTGCAAAGTTCATTATCTTAACAAATGTGACCGACACTGCAATGTTTGTGAATCTGACAGCCTCAATGTGACAACACCGGACATGACAATGAAAGAAGTGACTGGATTCAGTGTCCAGAATGTGGCATCCCATAATAATGTTGTAAGACTGTCGATAAATAATCAAATCTGCCACTTTGTTCCATTGGAGACTGACAAGTTCTTTCCGAACCTTGAAACTTTGAGGATTTGGTCTTCAGGATTAAAGAAATTGGATCAGAATGACATAAAAGGATTTGAACACTTAAGAGAACTAATTCTGCCACTCAATGACATTGAAAGTCTTGATTCAAATTTATTTGAGTTCAATAAAAAAATCAAAAAAATTGATTTAAGTAGAAATAAACTCAAAAGTGTTGGACTAGCTTTATTATCAACATTAAGGACCATCACATATATCAACTTCAACCTCAATGACTGTATTGATGACAGTTTTAAAGTAAACATAGACAAATTTATAGAAAAAGTCAGAACATCTTGCCCACCGACAATTGAAATGCTCAAGAATGACGTCATCTTCGTAATTAATGAAAATGAGAAGCTTAAACTGTCAATTGATGCAAAAGACGCGATTATTAAAGAAAACTGTGACTTCAGCAAGTTTGAGGAAATTGGAAATAAGTTTGAAGAGAAGACAGAGCAGGAAGATTATTATCAGTTACATAAAAATGATGGAAGTGACTATAAAGTTCATCGATATGAAGAAATTGATCTTTGAGATTGTTGGATGCAAGTTTTTATTGTACAAACTTATTGTTCAAGATTTATTTATAAGCTCAGTAAATACATTGATCATTTAACATTACATACATCGCTCCACACACGTGGATTGTCTGTTTTCATTTTCGTTCTTCTTCATTTTGTGCATGTTCAACAAGTTAATTGTTTTTGAGAGAATCTAAGCAAAATTTGTCACTAATACAGTGCACACTAATACAGCTGCATTAAAGTTTCTCCAGCTGATTTTATTTTTTAAAATGTTTTGAGCGCGTAGATGTGGGGTCGTTCATAAATGACGTTTTTTTTATAGAAACAGGTAAAGATTTAGTGAAAAAATTTAAACAATGATATATTATCAATAAACATGATGAATTCTGGGTCAAGGCTAATTGACTTTATAACTTTGATCAAAGAACTGGAACTTCCGTCAGTCAAAGAATCAATTGGATGATATCATATCCATAATTTTAAATAAATTAATAATGTAGAATATTAAACGACATTTATTTCTCCAATAATCATCAGACATTATAGCTGCTAACTTGAAAAAATGCACATTTATGACTAGCTTTGATGACTTAACATGCGAGAATTTTGCATTCAAATTTTTCTATTGTTATAACTTTTATTTTACTGATTATTCTTAATTCAACTCTCTGATGAGTCTTTTTGATAGAGAATTTCGAGGTACGTTCAAGGTTTTGTGAATAATTGTTCAAGTTTATATGATTTTTTATGGAGAAAAGAGTCGTGATATTTAATAAAATAAGTAAAAAGTTTTGCAATGAAGCAACTCGTAAGGCAGACTGTGTGATTTTAAATGAAGTTGTTTTTGTTGATCGACCAGCGATAGTTAAATGAATGAAGTGCTTGAGAAACTTTTTTGAGTTTTAAATCTTTTCAAATTCACTATGAAGTATTTTGAGATATTTAATCATTTTGCGAGAATTCGGTCAGTGTTTTTGGGATTTGGAGACCATATTTAGTTCAAATTAACTCGGCTTGCCTCTATCAAACTTAATTTGACTCAAACAGACCCAAAAAGATCAATTTTAAATTGAACTATACTCAACTTTACAACCAATTTGATCCGAGCTAGTAAAGTCAGACGTCAAAATCCTAAAACATGAAAGCAAACCCCCAATTAGCCTCACTAATTGCCATCAAAGTTTTTTAAACCTTTCACAAAGAGAATTAAATGTCATGAACTTATCAAAACAATAACTTGACATTCAATTAGAACCGGCATGTCAGCACATTATCCCAGCCAACTTACTTGATCAACAAATAATCAACAACAACAACCAAGCCTCAAAATCAGGTTTTTCAAACCAACAAACACAAAAATAAAGTTTCTTTGCATTCCTCTCCGTCTCAATACAACCATAGTTCCACTCCAAAATGATCGTCTTTCAGTTTTTCATGAATATAAAAAATATTTCTTGATAACAATTTAAGTTGAGACATTTTTCTCTCAATTTGTCATGTTTTTTACACTATTTAACATTTATGACCCCGTGCAACTATGTTCATGCATGTTTATAAATTGTATTTCATCAACGAGTAATTGTGTCTGTTGATTGTAAAGGTTTTCATTTATTCAATTAAGTTTTACATTCGAATATTTATTGTTATTTCTTTACAATTTGTTTGTTGAGTGAGCTGAGAATTTGTGATGATAGTTTTATGGGTTTGGTGTAAATTTTGTCAGAATGTCTAGTAGTAGTTGCTGTTTTATTCAGTTTTCTTAGCACTGAATGAGTCTAAGAGGGTCAATTATGGCTCTATATGGTAATACTTACTCATCTTAGGTCAAATTCAGCCATCTCGGGTTAAATTAAGTCATATTGAGTCATATTTGGTCTCTTTGGGGCAGATTCAGTCTCTTTGGGTCAGATTCGGTCTCTTTGGGTCAGATTCGATCTCTTTGTGTCAGATTTGGTCTCTTTGGATCAGATTCGATCTCTTTGGGTTAGATTCAGTCTCTTTGGGTCAGAGTCGATCTCTTTGGTGCAGATTCAGTCATTTTTGATAAAACTCAGCTATTCAACAACATTTATTTCTGCATTTTCAAAACGAAAATTCAATTCACTTACCTGAAAAACGCTCTAACCACTACAAAAATCATCAAACTTCTCCATACTCATAATTACATTAGTATTTGTGTTTCTAGTTTTATTTGTGATGATGATGAGAGAAACAAAAATATTTAGTTCTCACTTGATTCCCGGAGTTATTAAACGTGCTAGGAATTTTTATTTAAAAACATTTAAACTGTAAAGAAATAGAAAAGAAAACAATCTTTGGTGTGAAGTGTAAAAAAAATTTGCGATGAAAGTCAACAGGAATTTGTTGATGGTTGCAGCGGTCAAGGTCAAAAACATGCGTCTCCATAAATGGATGTGGAGTGTGATGGGAGTCGCGTATGAAACGCATGTTAAGTTTAAAGAATTGGCAATGAAAACAGATGAAAATGGACGGACGATGCTGCAACTAGCGGTAATGCACAATAAACTTGAAATAATTCAGTGGATTTGGAAGAAACTCGACAAGGAAGTTTTTAATATTAAGGAATTGAGAAATTTCTTTACAAAAATTGACTTGACTGGCAAGAATATTCTTCATTTAGCGGCTGAGCATTGCAAAGATCCAAAAATCCACGACTGGCTATGGGAAATGGCAAGTCAGAAATTCGGAAAAGAGACATTAAAGGAACTGACTGATCGCGTTGATAAAGACGAACGAAATTTCTTCCATCTTGCAGCAATTTTTAACTCAAATGCAGTTTTTACTGAGCTTTATACTTTAGCAAAGAAGCATCTTGGTGCAGTTGATATGAGGAAGCTGTTAAGGAAGAAGGAACTTGTGTATGATGAGAATGTCTTCGATGTTGCTAAGCAACATGCAAAGGACTCGAATATTCATCAGTGGCTGAAGACGAAAAGACATAAATATTTTTAAAGGATGTACTTTTATTGTTATTTTGTACTGTTTGGTGATCAAATGAGAAGGGTTTTGAGAAAAATGACAAGTGACACAGTCAAACATTCAACAGTCAAACATGTTGTTAGTGCTTGTGATTATATGTATAACCAGTCAGCATGTGTGATTGACTTACAAAAGCTGTTTAAAAACAGCACTCCGTATTAACAACCCTTTTGTGAATCTTACCCAGTTAAATGTAGAGACAATACTGAATTCAAAGTAATTTGCAAAGAGAACATATCAAAGCAAAAGACAGAAAATGAGGTTAATGAACTCAAATGCAGTTTTGACTTGTGATTAAATCAGCGAAACCTGATCGGCATATCATGTAACGGAACTGATAAATCAGGTCATTATTATTTTTGATCAGACCGATGTCTTTGATCTTATGTTTTGCACTTCCCTACGAGAATTTTCGAAGGTTTTGTATCTCAATGGGCGTAGTCAGGAACTCATTTCTGTGTGGTCAAACTGTCAGTTTGTAGGAATTTTCAGTCATTTGCTTGGAAGTTTTAAAGAAATTAATCCTAAACTTCCCAAATAGCTCCTCTGCCGAAAAATATAATCTGCCTATCTCGAATAGGTTAAGTCGGCTAATTGATCATAAATCCGGCATCAAGCTGGTACAAAAAAACATGGTACTAAACTCAATTTAAATCTGGTACTTTTCCAGAATCACACCTGCTTGGTACCGGATTTCTGATTGATTAATCAACTTTTGCTATACCCGAATAGTCTCTTCGTCTCTTCTTTTTTCCATTTAATTGTCCGATCAATAGTTTATCAACAAAGAATAGAGTAACCAACTCCTGCAACTCCTTACGTAGCACAAACATTCAATTATCAGCCATTTTTCTCATTTGATCACCAGCAGTTCCACTATCATCAATTATTGTTAAACTCTTGTGTCATAATGTCATTTTAACCATATTTAGTAATTTAAAGATGCTAATAATAAAATATTATGTTAATATTTGCTAAGTCAACAAAAAAAAAATTAAAATAAAAATGTCAATTTATAAAATATTTGTGAATTTTTTTCAACTGAATTTTTAGATTTGAATTTAAGCTTTTGTGCTGTATATGTGAGCTTTTGTATCACTCATGTGATGAGCTAACATGTAAGCGAAAATTCTCTATATTCTCTGTCTGTTGAGCTGATAATAAAATTTCTCAATCACTTAACAAGTTCAATATATTTACTAAATATAGAGGAAAAATTGTCATATGAATATGATAATTTTTTTATAGAAATAAGTTCTCAAGGTAATCAGATGAGAGCTTAGTCTTGTGACAGTCAATAGCTGCTTGTCATTCTGGAATTTCTGGACAGTCAACAGCTGCTTGACATTCTGGAATTTCTGAACAAAATATAATTCATGTTTTTAATTGTCTGTCTTATGGATGAAACTGAAATTTTCTGAGGCTTGGTGGGGAAGATGAAGAACAAGGGCAAGATTGAAGGTTTCATGGCTTTTAATAACTCAACTTGGTATTTTTCCACGACATTTTGTCTCAATCTTTTATTTTTTTCACTTAAAATTAATTAATTAACAGCTTTGTCAGATTCTTTTTTTCAGCTAAATAATTTACACCAGAATCCACAATCTTCAGCTTTTGTTCCATTTTTTGACGCTTCTTCTGTACCATTGGTGATTTTGATGGTTACAAGTGAGGATTGTGTTGTTGTGGATTGTCCACCAGCAGCTGTTGAGATTGATGATTTACCTGAAGTTGTTGTTGATTCAGTTATTTTTGCTGTTGGCTCAGCTTTTGGTTCAGCTTTTGGCTCTGACGTTGGCTCAGCTTTTGGTTCAGCTTTTGGCTCTGAGGTTGGTTCTGACTTTGGTTCAGCTTTTGGTTCAGCTTTTGGCTCAGCTTTTGGTTCTGAGGTTGGTTCTGACTTTGGTTCAATTGATGAAGAGGAATGTGTTGATTCAGTGCTTGATGTTGGGATTGATGGTGTTGAGAGCGCTGATGCTAGTGCTGCATTTATGGAAATATTTTAATAAATAATATTTTTTTCGCAAACTTTTTAATTTTTTTTTAAATTTTTCCTAAAATGTTTTATTTTTTCTATTTTTTGAAAAAATTTCACGAATATTTAAACTTATTCCCAATCACAAAAACTTACAGCAACAACACAAAATAGCCAAAACACCGAGTACACAAATTGAAATAGTTCTTGCCATCTTGATAATTTTTTATCGACTGATCCTCCTTTGCACAATATCCAATTTATTTATAAAAATATAAACTACAGTCGGAAAAGGAGATAAAAAAAAAATCGTTACGAAGGTGACAAAACTGTACTTCGCGGCATCACATCACAATAAATAAAGCAACAGTCTATGCTGTACTCATGTGCTCGTCTAGAGCGGGAATTTCTGTTTTGTGTGAATTTTCATTAACATTTGCCATTAGTGTGTTGATGACTTGTTGATTTTTACAGGTAAACAGATAATGTAAGTTATGAGGTGTTGCTTGTTTTTGAGGAAATTAAATTATAACTTTTAGTGATGCTATTAGGGGTCATTTAATTATTTCGGTTATTGATGGCGAGGGGATTTTGAGATTTTTGATATTTTTGATGATTTTGAACTTTGATACTTAAATTCTATTTTTATCCCCATATAAAAATTCCTAGGGTACTTAATGTTCTAATTTTCTGATGAACATCATCCGTGAATGGCCCTTCAATGATAAAGTGTGAAGATTCTTGACTAAAAATTAGATAAACGTGATTCATAAGGGAATTTGTAATTCGAGGTATTAGTACCCGAAAAACACAAGTCAGTTAATCAAGTAGAAATCGCGCGGCAAGCTGGCATTACGCTAGCATGGTGCTGGCTTCGATTTAAATATAGCAACATGCCAGAGTCAAACTGGATTAGTGTTGGATTTCTGATTGATTAACCAACTTGTGCCATTCGGGGTAGTAAGTAGGGTGACCATCTAATTTTTATGAAAATACAGGACATTTGATAAATTTCCCAAAAAATACAGGACACAAAGGAAAATTTGAAAATTAACGGAAATTTTCGTGAAAAAAATACAGGACCTGGAACAAAATTTTCAAATTTATACAGGACAGGGTTTTGAAATACAGGACTGTCCGTTGTAAAACTACGCAGATGGTCACCCTAGTAGTAAGTCAAGAATTGAATTGCCCAGCACAACTTTTTATCAAATCGAGTGAAATTGTGTGAGTCATGAGAGACATATAGATGTACTTATATATAAAGCTGGTATGTATAATACATTTAGCATCAATATTTAATTTTTCAATTATCAATTGTGAAATATTGAGTCACAAAACTTTTTCGAGACTGATTCTTCTTTTGCGCAATAATTGTATGAATAAGAGATTTGCGATGGCAAAGTAACGAAGCTATTTTGTTCAGTTATGAGTTACTAGGCTATGAAAGAAGGGAGGCTATGGATCACAATTGATCTGTAAAGCCAGCTATGCAATTATGTATGTATGAGATATAAGATTTGCTTTGGATTTGAGAACCTAGTCACAGTCAAATGTCATTTATCCTCCTAAAGTGTTGTTCTAGCAATTGATGCCGCAGGTAGCTTTAGATACAGCCTAAGTTGACTCATTGATGACTATTGACACTGGCACTTTTAACTAATGTATATAATTTATTCACAAAACCTAAAATTTGTCAATTTTTTTATGAACATTTTTCTCTATAAATTAAGCTACTGAGTCTAGATCGAAGCTAGTTCGGTCAATAATCGGAAGTTAATATCAAATCGTGATATTGTGAAAATATTCTAACCTAAAATTCAATACTTTATTGTATGACCTGGAATCAGTAGCTTTGACATTATTAACCTACAGCTCATGCGATTCCCAACTGAACTCGCACATTCCATAAATTAAAAAGTAGCAGCAACATTACTGCATATTCCTCAGTGTATGCAAATCAAAACAAGTCATTGAGGACAATTATAAAATAATGAAATATTCATGTTTTATTATCACGCGATGTATATGAACATCTGTCTGGAATGAAAGTTACTTTTGTGTCTAATGACGAAGTGTTCTTATTTTGCTTAAAGCTTAGCCACAACAATCAGTTATAATAAAGTCATTCGTGGTGAAGAAAAGTGCAAAAATTGCAATTTTAAAAAAGTTGTGAAAAATTGGAATTTTTTTTGAAAATTGAAGAAAAAGGAAAACTTAGAAAAAAATCAGCAAAAAATATGAAATTGTCTACAAATATCCACCAGCTATCACTGCTGCTCGTATGCTTCATTATTAATCTTGATATATCCTTAGCTCAGTCAAGTGTCTGCTTCTGTGTCACGTCTGGTTACTGCACATCAAACCCAACGGTAGCCCCAAATGATGGATCAAACCAAATTGATATTAGAATTGTGAATGTGAGACTTTATGAGTTTAAAATTAATTATTATTATTGTTAATGTGAAATAATTTGATTGGGTGATTCATTAAATAATGGACTTTTGGCCTATAATCATCGTTCTTGTGAAAGCTTTGACATTGATTGAGTTAAAAACAAGTTCTTTTTGCAGGCAGCATCGACATTACCACCAATGCCCAATCCAGGTTATATAGTTCCTGTGTCATCTGGCATCACTCCTTGTAAGTAAATTCAAGGACCGAATTAGAATTATTGCTACAATTTGGATCATTTTCAGCAATATCTCAGTATAACTCCTGTCAACAAGGTCTATCAGTATGTTGCCTACCATCATATCAATGTGGAATCAGGTATCCACCAGTAGCTAATGGCCCCTCGCCAGCTCCAGACACTAATCAAGCTGCATTTGGTGCTTATCCATGGCAAGGTAAGTTGCAGCATTTTTAAAGGAATAATTTTAAATTTTAACTCTTTCTATGAACTATTGTAGCTGTAATCTTGCTATCTGCTGACAGCAGCTTCGTTGGATCTGGAGTTCTAATTGACAATTTTCACATCCTTACTGTAGCTCATAAAGTCAGCAACTATGCGTAAGTACAACCTTATTTCTATAAAAATCTCAATTTAAATCTTTCATCTACAGCAACAATCCACAAGTTCTAAAGGTCCGTCTTGGTGAATGGGACGCATCTTCAGTTATTGAACCGATTCAAGCTCAGGAGTATCAAGTACAAAGAGTGTTTATTAATCCTGCATATAATTCAGCCAACTTGAGGAATAGCATTGCAATATTACGTCTTACAAATGCAGTTCCTTTAGGATTGACACCGACAATTACATATGCTTGCTTACCATCTGCTCAGATTAGTGGACAGAGATGTCATGTTGCTGGGTAAATAGAGAATTATTGATTGTTGTTTCTGTAAATGATTTTTATATTTCTAGTTGGGGAGTTTCAAACTTCAACACAGGAAGTTACCAAACAATCCAACGTGAAGTTGATTTACCGTTGGTTGATCAAACCACATGTCAAAATCAGTTGCGAGCCACTCGACTTGGATCGACCTTTCAACTTGACTTTAATTCCTTCATTTGTGCTGGCGGAGAGTTTGGAAAAGGTTTAATGATTCTTATGCTCACAAATGAATAGTTCATTAATTGTGTTAATCGATTTGCAGATGCATGTACTGGTGACGGAGGAAGTCCACTAGTATGTAAGATTGGTAACAACTGGTATGTCGCAGGACTAGTTGCATGGGTAAAATATCTGCTCTTTTTAAGGGAATCTAAATTATTAATCATAAATTCATTTAAGGGTATCGGATGCGCTACACAAAATGTTCCGGGAGTTTACATTAATGTCGTCAGCTACATCAACTGGATTCAACAGACAACCCGAACACCTTAAAATGTTTCCAAATATTTATTTATTTGTGACTTGAATGTTTTTAAGCTTGAGACCAAAATAAATTGATTCAAACCAAAGACAAAGTCATGCCAAAATCTTTTCTTTCTCTTCCACATTGTATGATTTTCAAATATTGAATAACATGCAAAAAGCAATTAATTGATTTTGATATTATGCAATTATAAGCTCGTTAAGTCTGCTTGGTTTTATGGCTTATGATGTTAATTTAATGCGGCATCTGGAGCTTGTTTTAAATGTGAATGAAGATTTTTTGCTCCGATATTTTATAATGCTCATAACTTTTTATTTCTCAGCCAACAATGTTCTCTCATTTCTATTCATTTATGCTGTTTGTGAACTGGTTCATGTGGTAAGGTGATTTTGTGAGAATTCATGTTATTTTGGATAGTGAAACTAAATCAAAAATAACTCAACTTATCCCAATCATGACTGATCTTATTTTTAAAAATAAAGTAATTAATCTCAAGAAGCACTTAGTTTATCCCAAAAATTACTAAGGTTATCCTTAAAATAACTGAATTCATCCCTAAAACAACTGAATTTATCCCCAAAATAACTGAACGTATCCCAGCTATGACTGAAATTTTTCCTAAAAAAATAACTGAAGCAATCCCAAAAGGCACCAAAATTATCCCAAAAAACAATTAAACTTATCCCAAAAGAACTAAACTTATCTTTGAAAACTGAACTTATCCCAAAAATAACTTATCTTAACCCTATAATAATTGAACTTATCCCGATGGTTTTTTAAAAATTCTGACCAAATTTCCACAAGGAACCTTACCAGAAACATCGCGAGACAAGAAGCGACAGCACGAGAAATGGAATAAATCGCTTCTATGATTTCGCGCGGTTTTTTATCTTCTTTCACTTTTCTTTCGAAATCGAAAGTTGTCACATTTGTCAGTTACATTTGTGTCATTTTCAAATAAGAAATTATCCATACTCGTTGTTTATTGCTGACTATTTTTTTGCATTTCCGTCTCTGTCTTGCCAATTTGTTTTGGTGTCTATCTTCATTTTTTTTGCGATATTGCTTTTGTCTTTTATCTTCATTTTCATGTTTTATTGCATTGCACCGGCTTGGATTTCTAAGAGAAAGAGAAAGATGATTGTTGGTCTGTTTTATTGCAGTTTGAGGCAGTTGGAAAAGAGATATTGTCCAGATTAGTTGTGCTTTTATTGCCAGTGTGATTTTGGTTTTTTTTTAAATAATTATTGAAATAATTAATATGAATAAGTAAGTATATCCCAAAATATGGTGCTTTAATAAATGGCATGTTGATATTTTTGATATTTTCCACAGATTAACTGCAAATCCACTCCTAACACTTATCCTTATATGCATAGTCATTAGATCATCACTATTAATAACCCTCAATTGTCAATTCATCGACCTAGAGTTCTGCTCATCATCGACATGCGTTCAACAGTGCAAAGCAGTCAACTTTATAATCACAAAACCAAACCAAACAGTCACAAAAATATTCACAAATATTCCTAAAATTGAGGAAATCAAAGTCCTCAAGATGCATGACCAGATTATTCATCATTTACCGACCAGCTTAGAGAATTTCTTCCCAGAACTGAATGTATTGCAAATTTGGTCATGTGGATTAAGGTCACTGTCACAAAATGACTTAAAAGTATTTGAAAATTTGAATGAATTAAGCGTGTCTGGAAATGAAATTGAAGTTCTGCCTTCAGATTTATTTTCACAAAATTCAAAACTTACAAAAATTGACTTCAGCAGGAACAACTTAAAGCACATTGGATTCAATCTTTTAACGCAAATAGATAGTTTATATTTTGCTGACTTTTATCAAAATTTCTGCATCAGCGATGGAAGTCGAAGCAGAAAGACAGATTTGATTAAAAATTTAAGGAAAAGCTGCAAACCAACTCAAGAAATGCTGATCGAAGATCTGACAACATTAAATGAGGAAGTCAAAATGATGAAAAATGAACTCAAAGCATGTGAGAAAGTGCATAGAAGTCGACGATGTGGAGATGATGATAGAGGCAGAATTGTTGGATTGGATTCACTTTTTCCATCGATTTTCGTGAGTGAGGAGAATAGGATTGACAGAAGCTTAAGAAGCCATGCTACGAACTGATGAAATTTTTGTTCAAATCCTAGCAAGTTTTTCGAGCTATTGAAGAGACTTTAATCGAAAATAATAAGCAACCATTAAAACCGGCTCGTGGATGATGCGATTTGAGGTCAAACTTTTAGCTACACCCCTGCACTAGACCGACATGTGATACCGAGCAAAATAATTGTCTCACCTTTAATAATAATATTATCTGAATGTTGTTTGTACAATTCAAAAACCAATAAAATTTGGCAAGATAAAAATCTGTCAAACTTCCGATCTTACTAATTGATACTCTAATAAAAGCTCAAATTATGTTCAAAAACAACTTCAATTTAATTTCACTTTTCAACAGCAAAAGTCAAATTTTCAAAAGAAATGAAAATTATTTTGACTATTCTTGTCACTTTTGGATCCTTTCTTGGAGTAGCTTCCTTTATTCCAGTAAGATTCAGTTTAATAATTCTGTCAGACAGTAAGGGATTGTTCACTAATGACGTCCGATATTAACACGGTCATTTGCAGAAAAGAACAATGGAATTCAAGGAATCTCCACTGGACGTCATAAGCGAACGGCCCCTAACCAAGTGTTTAGAACTGATCAAAACTTATCAAAAAGGAATTTTTCTGTTCCAACATTAATCTAAAAACTCTCCCCAGGCAACTAAGGCTACATATTATGAAGTCAACTTGGACAGAGTTGAGCAAATACACGCGAATACAAAATTTGAAGACTGGTCAGGATTAAAAGCTAGAAAAGTCAATAAAACGCGATCATTGAATGGCGACATTTATTTCTATAAAGATTTTGGTGACGAAGTGATTGTGAAAATTGAAGCTTCAATTAAAAGAGGTGGAGTTTATCAAATGCTGCCTTACAGGATACCAGAGAAGCCACTTTGCAAATTTTATATGGATGAAGAATATTTTTATAAGGAACTAGCTGAAAATTCAGATTTTCCAAAAGATGTTAAAACTGGATGTCCATTAAAAGCTGTAAGTAGAAAAGAGTTTAAAGGTTTATAGCTAGGGGATAGTCGTGGATAGAAAGTTCATCGATATGTGAACGATGAGCAGGATTTTTTTCGGCTTAAAAGGCTCAATTTGACACTTTTGTCTTAAAAGATCTTGATAAAGCAAGCGGAACTAATCAAAATTATGAACAATTGATTTATCAGTTTCGCGCAATTTGTCAATATCTGATTTTTTTAACGACAATGTTTACCTCAATTTAGGGCAAATATTCATGGCGATCGGTGATTTTTAATCTTGACAGTATTCCAAGAGCTTTAATAGTTTCTGGTGACTATTCAGGGGATTTCATTCACATTTTGGATGGCGAAGAAATTCTGCGAATGCGATTTTTTGCAAGCGTGGTTGCAGCATAACCTTAAAAAAATAAATCTATAGAACAGACATAAATTCACCTGACAACTCTCTTGTCATCATTGTGCTTTTTATATAATCTAGCTAAAGGTGGAACAAAAAGGTTCACATTGATTTCATTTACTGAACCTTTAACATAAATTTTGTGCATATTTTGTAACTTAGTCCAATATAAAATGTAACTTGTGACATATCCGACAATTAGTGTGAATAAAAATCCTAAAACTACAGCATACATATATGAAACTCTGTATAAATAAAAGTATGTTGGTTCAACATCTTCACTAGTTCCTACAGTAATTCCTTCATTTAAAAATGTTGAGTTATACTTGAAACCTTCAAATGCTGAACAATCTTCGATAGAAAAGTCCAAAAGTGGAGCTGGTGGTCTAGGCTTCCCAAACTGTGACCACATAGCTATTCCCATACCAACTATATGACCGACAATGACTCCCCATTGATTTGCAATCTTTGTAAACATTCCGAGTGTAAAGACCCCCAAAAGTGGACCTCCAACAACTCCAAAGATTGTCAAACTGGCTTGCAAGACTCCTCCTAGATTTTGTGTCAGAAATGCGACTAGAATGCAAATTACTCCATAACATGTCGCTAGAATTTTTGAGATTAATGCTGAATCACGGACAGATGGTTCATATGGCTTCTTCTTAATTGCCGAGTAAATATTTTTAAAATAATCTTCAAGAGTGATTGCTGACAATGAGTTTAGAGCTGTTGATACAGTTGACAGACAAGCTGAGAAGATTCCAGCTACAAAAAGTCCAGCAATTCCTGGATAATTATTTAATGCATCCATAATATACATTGGCATATTTTGATCTCTTGAGTTGATTCTTCCTGCTAAGAATGGATCGCATGTTCTATAATACCAGTAGATTACTAATCCTGAGAATGAGGTTGTTAAGCTTAGTGCTGATAGGATCGGCCACTGCCACCAAAGACTTAATTGAGCATTTTTTAAAGTTTTTACTGAAACAAGTCGCTGAACTTGAGCTTGACTGACGCCATATAGGGACAGGTAGGTTCCCATACCTCCAATGACTAGAGTGAACCAGGTGTGTCGAACTGTTGGGTCAGGATCGAAACTAAAATTGGAAATAATCATGATTAGTGATGCTCACTCTTTAGATTACTATTAGGTCCTAGCTACAACTTGGCAATCCTCCATGTCATACTTACTTCCATAGTTGAAGCCTTCCTCCTTCATCAGCAACTCTAAATATTTCTGAAAAGCTTCCAGCATAAACTAATCCACTAATTCCAACAGTCAACACGGCAGCAAACATCAAAATAGATTGAAAAACATCAGTCAACAGTACAGCTTTAAGTCCACCAATTATTGAATAAAAGGAACAAACTCCACCGATCAAGATAATCGCATAATTCATCTTAATTCCAGTTACAGTTTCCATTGCCAATGCTGGAGCAAAAAGTGCAATTCCCATGTATAAAACCATCTGAATTGTATACGAAATTGAAGCTACAAGTCTAGTCAGCAAACCAAATCTCTTCTCCAAATACTAAAATGACAATAAAAGTTTTAGACTTCATGACAATAAACAATTAAAATTTAATCGCACCTCATAAGCGCTTGTAACTCCCATGTTGTAAAATACAGGCAGGAACAGATAAGCACAAATTGGAGTTGCAAGGCCGTATGAGATGTTGATGACTACAAATTGAGTTCCGAATTGATAGTTTTCATTTGAAACTCCAAGTAAGGTGACAGCTGACATGAAGGATGCCATGAGGGAGAACGAGACAGGCCTGGAAGAATTATTTGATTAATTTTAAATTGTTTTTGAGTTTTTGGCTCTTTTTGTTCATTTTAGGTACACACTGGCTGCACAGTTAATGCCTATCCCAACCACAAACATATTAACACCTTGTAAACATCAATGAACGTCACAGAAACATGTGAGTATGTCCAAAACATGTTGAGTCATGGCAATTTCTTCTCTTATCAAGAAAGATAAGAATTAAGTACATTGTAAGATAATCAGACTGATACTTTGCAGCCATAACAACAAAATTGCTCTTTCAATATTTATATTACATTGTGAATTATCTTTGAAGGCTTAAAATCTTAATTATCTTGGTTATCTCTGTTGATTAAGTTCTAGAATTTTTTAATTCTTACCATATTGGCATTGATCTATTGGCCAATAAATACTCTTGATTAGTTTTTTGTCTGCCACCGGAGAATCTTGCATATCTGAAATTAATTCAAATTTAAAGCTAGCATGAATAATTTTGAGGTTATAATATACACACACTCCTATTCCAGCAGATATGATCAATGTTATGATAAACACAACATAATCCCAGACACCGAAAGCCATTCAATTAATTTTTAAGTACGACAATTCACACTTAATTCACTGATGCGACTGAAGTACCTCAAATATCTCACAATAATTATTTTATACAGCCGTTATTAATGCCAACAATGTAAGATAAGAGAAGAGCCTGATAAGGAAATAAATTATCAATAAAAGTGAACTTTTGTAATTTTGTGGAATGATTCAATTCAGTGTTCAAGGACATCTTGAGTGCTTTATCTTAAGTTTTTGGACATTATTGAATTTTAATGAAAGCTTGAATGCTTAGTTTGATGAATCACTGCACGGCGGGTGTGCACTTGACATTGTCTGTGTGATATTTGGTTACCGAAACTGTTCAAAGACTGACAATGAAAGGAAGTTTAAAAGATAAAAGAATTTTGCATTTTAAATTTTTCGAACCAGTTTTGTGACTTTCTAGTTCAGTTCATGAGCATTTAATTGCATTTTTCGAATTGTTTGATGGATTTCAGTTTTGACTCTTGTTTGGACTAGTTGTGCATTAATTCTCAAATCAACTTACATCAATTTAAAACTCAAATCAAGAAAAAAATGACAAAATTATTGGAAATCTTAACTTTTGGTAAGTTTTAATTTATTTCGATTAAAAATGATAAAATAACAAAAATATTTCAGTGACTTTTCTTATGCTCAAAAAATCACATCCATCACCAATCCCACAAGACTACATGGTTCAATATTATGATCCATATTATCAGTATTATCAGTGGCCTTATCAATACCACCAGAGTGACACAGACGTTGCCCAAAATGTTGTTCCTTATCAAGTTCAATCAAATTATGATTATAATGGATACAATTACAATCAAAATTCAGTCGCAGATGATGACAGCAAGAATATTTTTGGAAATATATTCGAATCGATTTTTAGACCAACGACAACTCCTAAAACATCAACAGTGCCAACAACACCTAAAACAACAACAACAACAACAACAAAGAGCCCTCAAACCACAACAAGTTTAGCAGAAAGTCTAGTTCAACGAGGTTTGTTATTGTTCTGTGGCCCAAAGCTGGTTTCTAAGGCTACTGGTAGTTTGCTCCCCTGTGACTATGAATGGCTAAATCAGTAGCCATAAAAACGAATCTGATCCTAGAACAGCACAAGTCAGTTAATCGATCAGAAATCTGATGCCAAGCTGGTGTGACTCTGGAATGGTGCTGGATTTAAATCGAAGTCATGATAGAGTTATGGCAGCTTAGTGTCAATGGTATGGAACTGAAGAATTACATTTTGATCATTTTTGATCAATTTTTGATAATTTTTGATCATTTTTGATCAATTTTGATCATTTTTGATCATTTCATCAGTACCACACCCTTGCTTGGTGTCGGATTCCTTTTAGACTAACCAACTTGCGCTATTCGGTATTCTAAATGCTCAAATATTTTATTGACTTAAATTCCAGATTGTGTCGAGAAATGCATTGAAAGACCTCCATCTCAGTACGATCCTGTCTGTGGTTCAAATAATGAGACTTACTATAATGACGGTAGACTGTACTGTGCTGCAGACTGTGGAGTTGGTAAGTTGATTGGATTTTTTTTCGACAAGACTAAAGCAATTCTGTTTAAAATTTCAGATGTTACTCTTGCGAGACGTGGAACTTGTACGCCAATGATAACAATGATTGTTAGCGGCATGACTAATTCAGTTGCTAATGGAACTTTGATTTAAGAACTAATATTTTTGTGCTTAATAAATTTAATATTTATTTAATTGTTCATGTTTTTGTTTTCCTTAATTGTAAAACTAAAGTTCTTAACCATAACCAAAATAATATGCATCAGGTAATATATGGATGATTCTTTTACTTTTGTGCTGTATATCCTCCCTTGTCCCATGCTTAAATGAATAAAATAAACAAAATTTTGTTTTAAAAAGTCATAATTAACAATGAGTATTAGCTCACCTTTGAGTTTTTCACTTAACTCTTGCATTAAGTCATTCAAAATATTTCCATCAACGTCATCACATGGAAGATCACCTCCTAATGAGCTTTTTAAGAATTCTTTGCCAAGGAAGTTGCCTAGCATGTCCCAATCTTTGCCAACAAAATGAATCTATTGAAATTAAAGTTAAATTTAATCAGTTCGAAAACCATTCGGGAAGTGACCTCACCCTCTGCCTCAATTTAGCATGAATGAAAGGCTTAAAAATCTTAAAAGCAATGTTAAAGATGTACGAATTATTTGTGATGTAGACACCCTTGATTCTCAATGGAACGCATTCCTGTAGCCACTCCAGTAACATTGCTGCAAAGAATGGTGTAAAATGGACAATTTGTCCTAAGGAGAGTCCTTCCACATCCAATATTACGCTGTTGAGTTTGAGATTTGATGAATTTTTGATTTTTTTGTAATTTTTAGTGCTTACCTGACACCGTTTATCTGAAATTGAGAAACATTGTAGATTTTTATAGCTTTGTTTTTATGAAACTTAATGCAAATTTTTGTAAGTCAATAGCATGATATTTCGGTCAATGGATTGAAATTCAAACATTTTTTGATAAAATTTTGTGCAAAATATTCGCATAATTCAGTATGAGCATATTGGAGCAACATTAAGCATCTAGCAACAATGTCAAACATCAACACACTCAAACTTTACTGATCATAACAAAAACATTCAACAATCAGTCTTAATACTTCCGTGCTCAACAGTAATCAACATTTTTGAGCTATGAGAAAGCAAAACGTGATTTTAAGGTTTAAAATTTCAGAGTACCGATGACTAATTGGCATAAATGACAACATATTAATTATTGTTGATTTATCGCACGCACAACAATATTTAACCGCAATGACCAGACAACTGTGCACTACAATCAGTCATGCGGCAAGTTGACATTGAGGTAAAATGCACAGTTACAATAGTTGGAAAAATAATGACAATTTCTAGTATTTGTGTAGACAATAATAATAAATTGTACTTACTTGCGACATTGGCTCTAGCATTGCAGCCTGGAGACTTAACTGAATCGTACGAAACATGTCATTTAGAGGGATTTTTGAGGGCTTCCAGTGTTCTGACAAGAATTTAATAAAAACATAATTTAATAACAAACTAAAGTCGACTTAACTTACTTCCAGTATGGATATAAATAATCCTACATCCATTTTTATCTCGAAGTGGAAAATACTTGACCAAGTCGTCCTCAAACACTGTCCTCAATGCCAATGGTGTCAAGTTCTCGTGGATGTTTTTGTGCTTGATTTTGAATTTATAAAATTTTTGCATCCGCTCGAATGCGCTTTTCGGATAATATTTGCATGGACGGAGGAAGCAAATGTGGAAGAAGTCGCCCTCGTGCGGGAATGTAAAGTTTTTTTCAGCTGTAAATTGAAGAAATATTTGCATTTAATTATTGATGCTTGAATAATTGATGCTTGCTTTTTGCTGAAGTGCTGTTTACGTTAACAGAGAATTAAGCTTTGTATGAGATTTAAATTTCCTGAAATGTTGCTTAATTCTTGAACAAATTGGAATCTCGACCCATTTGCAAATCAATTAAAAATTATTTCTTGAGATAGCTTGCATCAAGTCTGCATTCAATAAATAAGTCAAATTTGCATATTAACAATATAATACTGATTAGCTTAAAATCAAACAAGTTTATCAAAAAAAAAAATCCATAATTATGTGATTATAAAATAAAATTAGGCAATAATCACGAATGGCACTTTAAAAAGAATTTTCCCATGACGTTAGTGGTACGAAAATAATCTAAATACAGAGTTGAATCTAGAATATATTTATTATTTTTGAAATAGTTGAAAAAGGAGACCAAATAGCACAAGTCGGTTAATAGAATAGAAATCCTGCACCTAAATGACGTAACCATGGTATGGTGAAAAATTCGATTTAGGTCCAACTCCATGCCAGAGTTACACCAACTTGGTGCTGGATTACTATTTAATTAACCGATTTGTGCTATTAGGAGAGGAGGTCCGCCAAGCTATGTTCATGTCTACCATAAAAGAATAATTATTTGATTGTTTCAAATATAATGAGCTTGCTAATGTTAAATTAATGATGTGAAAATGACAAAACTCTGATTTTTACAGAAGTAAGATTTTTAAGTTATATTTCAAGATTTTGGTTCAAACTGTTGACATTTTCTTATCAGATATATTAATAAAATGTCCGAACATTATCACTTTTTGGTTGTTTTACAATTTATCATAGAACTGTGGTGTAGTCAGTAATTTAAGAGAGGAAGGACAAAAATATTCTGAGTGAGTATTTCAAGGATTTGTTTTTTCAAAACATAGCAAAAATAAGAAAAATCTGTTGACAAAAGGGGTCCCCCCAGGCTACACGTCTGAGCTTCAAACTCTACTCAAGTCAATCAAATTTTTCCACGAGTCAACTAAATTTTGGATCCAACTGGTTAATTATTTCGTACGTTTTGACTCCAATCGACTTCAAACTCTACAATTTACCATGTTACAGAATGAGTAAGTTGAATTTTGTAACCAATTAACTTACAGCATTTCAGTAAATCTTTGCAAATAAAAATACTTAAAATCTGAAGCTTTCCCAACAACTTTTTAATTGCTTTACATTACAGATAATTTATGCTTGTGAGATAAAAATGTGAAAATGCACTGAAGTTTGTAATTTTGACCTCTGAAATATTCAATTATTTGAGTAACATTTGCTTTTTATCTGTGCTAAATGTGCTGCATATTTACAAAAAATTGAAATTTTTTTCGGATGTCTGCAAATGAGTTTCAAATCAACTGATCGATTTATTGTGACAGGAAAATGTCAAAATAATAAATTTGTTCCTGCAAAAAACTTAACCCAAATGCAATTTAAATTGAAGAATTAAATCTCAATTTCACATCCAATTTATCAAACCTTTTAATCAAGTTTCTTAATCTAAACATAGATAAATTCAATTTAAACATCCAAACATCTCAAAAATCACCGAAGCACATATCTAAGTCAATGAACTAATACAATCCGTTATTTAACCATAAAACTCGTTTTTAAGCATTAAGTCATGCACTCTTTCATTGTCAAGGTCATTCGTTCATTTTCAGTTAAATGCAAGAAAAAAAGTAAAGTAAAAAAATGTTGATATGTTCAGCACTCAGCGGCCGTGACACAGTTTTAGTTTACGTACATCTCGCGAGTTTTACTTTATGCTTATAAGCTGTCTACACTTTCTGTTTCATTTAAATATTTATGTTGTGTGTTGGATAGATTTATGAAATGTTTAAGTGATTTTGTAAAAAATTTGAAAGTTATGAAAAATGCGCTTTATGTGAAAATTCAAGGAGTTTTTCTTACTTGTCATTTTTAAAATTCAAAGCTTTTCAGAAATCTCGAGAAATTATGTAAATTCCAAAATCTCACCTTTAATAAGCTCTCTCAGCTCAAATAAAGCTTCATTAACTACTTCTGGATCTTCTCGAAGTTCAATTTTAGCTTTTTGCAAATATTTCTCATCCACAACTGGTTCCTCTTCCAACCGAATTTTGAATCCATTGCCTAAGTCGGCGTACGGTTTGTTGTTGCTGTCGAATTTCAGTAGTGACATATTTTTTTTATTCGTGATGGTTCGATGTGGATTTGAGTTGATTGTTTTCGGTGACTGGTAAATAAGGAGAAAGACAAAGAAGTTTTGAAACTAATGTCGTGAATTATGCAACGTAGTGCTGGTTTTTTTAGGTTTTTACTCATTTTTTATTTCTATAATAAAGTATTTTTTTCATATTCTGAACCAATCTTGGGTTTCACTAAATTAATTTAAAATTTTTGGTTCACTTTATCAATCTCGTACAGCATCAACAATTTATAAATTTTTACTTTATTCAAAATTTGATTCCCTTTCATTTGAATTTATTGCTTTAAAATTTGAATTTTTTGAAGTGATTTATTTGAACTCATTTTTGAGATTTAAGAAGATTTTTATTTATTATTTTGAAGATTTTTAACACATTTGTAGAATTTTAAAAATCTTACTCAATCTTAATTACCCACAAATTTGAATTTTATTTTATTTCTTAATAAACGCGTTAACGATTCAACAGCAAAACTTAAACTGAATGCGATGTAAAATCTGAAAAGTTTAAGATTACTTTTCATTGATCATAGCTTGTGTTGAACAACGACTGTTTAATGATGTAAAAGAGCACCAATGCTGAAGTGTTGCACACTTTATTGATGTTTTTACAATAAAGCTTCGTTGTTTTTTGTTTATTAATGATGACTAGCTTCCAGTTTTGACGAATCAGTAAAGATAATTGCATATTTTTTGATGCTTGAAGGATGTCAACACTTTGGCTTAACCTCAACAGGGCCAGTGGATGAGCTTATGACTCCTGCACTGTAAATACTGGTTCGAACTTCAAATAATCCTTTTTTTCTCAATTGGAAACAAAAAGCAGACACAAGTAAACTTTTAAAATTTCAAAAATTCTGAAAAATACAAAAATAAAATAAAAAGCTTCAAAACAGTTTTCTTTCAAATTTTTCATTTTTATTTTTAATTCAATAAATCATAACTATGATAAATAACAACATTTTTTCTCATTTTAAATTTTATTAACGATTTTATCAATTTTCGCTATGTTTTTAATTTTTCATCTTCTCCTCTTTTATATCATTATTTTAGTTTCTTTTTTTTTGGTAAAATCTATGTTTTTGTTTCATTTTCCTTAATAGAGAATTTTTTCATGTTTTTATGTTTTTTTTATTAAATTAAGATGAGATTTTTTTGTTAATTTTTTATTATTATTTTATTTTTTCATGTTTTAAATTTCATGTTCTTTTTGGTTTTATTTAATTTTAATTTATTTTTACTTTCTCTTTACAAATTGTGAAATGTTTCTTTTGGTTTTGTTTAAATTTTATTGATTTTTTGATTTGAATTTTTTATTTGAAATTTTCAACAGATTTTTGAAGTTAAAAATAAATTTTTTTCTCAAAATTAAGTACAAGAATGGGCAAATAAGACATTTTGGAATTGGGTAACGTTTGAAACGTGCCATGAAAAACTATCGAATATTCTCTTAAATTCTGATAAATATTTTCAGATTTGTTAACTTTTCTAATTTGAAATCTTTAACGGGAATTTCAAAAAGTTGAACACGTTTAATGGCAAGTTTTGGGACAAAAATTAAAATTTTAAAATTAGGTGAGGTTCAAAATCTGAACCTCAATATACAAAATTAATTTTTCAGGATTTCAAATTTCAAAAATATGTTAAATATTTCAAACAAAAAAATTCAAACCACCAAAAATCATCCCTATAAATAATTTCATATTTTGTTCATTCACATTATGTTCATGAAAATTTTTACCTTTAATGTTTTGTGTTCTTTTCTTCATTCTCAATAGTTTCAATTCAAAAAAGCTATAATAAATTAAACCATACGATAGAAAAAGTAGAATTTTTTTTAGATATTTTTGTTTCTTATTTTTTAAATATTTTTAGAAGAGATTTTTTTTTTATTTTTTTAACTTAACACGTTTCATTCTCATTTTTGCTTTATTTTTGTTCCTTAACTAAGTTAATTTGTTTAAGTATATGCATGGGATAGATTGCCAAAAAGATTTTTTTTTCATTAAAATTTTGAAAAATTAATTTTAAGAGGATTTTTTTTTCGATCGATTTTTAGAAATAATTGTGAAATTTTTTTAAATAGATTTTTTAATTTCAATACAAAACTCTCCAAACAACGAGGTAAATATATCGTTTTATAATTTTTTTACATAATTTTTATTTTAATTTTATGAATCCAAAGTTCAATTTTTGAACTTTATCATCAACCTTTTCTCAATTTAAATTGGGAGCTTTTTTTTTAAAAAAAAAAGGAAAACAAGAAAAATTTTGAGAACCAAAAACACGTCTAAAATTTTGTCCATTTTGTCAAAAATTTAATTTTTATCGGTTTTTTGTTCATTTTTTGTGTAATAAGCAGGGGAATCGATAAGGCAACACAGAGAAGCTTCCATTTTTATTAAAAATTTATTTTCTCTCTTTTTATACATAATAACTTTTTACTTCTTTTTTGTTTAACAGAAACAAGATTCACTCCCTTATTAATCTCGCATAAATAGTCTTAAATTTTTTAAACGCAACAAAATGAACTTTAATTATTCTCTGTTTTTAAATTTTGTGAATTTTGGATTTTTTTCGACACTTTTAAGGTTAGTTATAATTTATAATTTTCCACTTTTGGTAAAAAAATTATTTTAGTATATTTTGTGGGATTTTAAGATATTTTCTGTAATTTTTTGAGGGAAAATTCAAAATTTGATCTTGCGGTTCAATTATTGAACGTGGAGTTCAGTTTTTGATGTTTAGGTTCAATTTTGAACTTAACATTGAAATTGAAGATTAGGTTCGAAATTTTTTAACATTAAACTCTAACCTAACCACAAAAACAATATCATAACCTCAAAAAAACTCTAAATTGACCCTAAAACCCCACCATAAATGAACCTAATCATAACTTTACACAGAGAAGAAACTTTTTCATAATAATTTTTTTTTGTTTAATTTCATTTATTTTTATAAAAATTTTCATCTTTTTTTTTGTTTTTTGTTCCTTAATAAAATCGCAAAACGAAGCACAGAAATGTTATCGAGTTGTTTATTATTTCATTATAATTACTCTTATTTTTTTATGTTCATTGAAATCTAAGTCGAGGCGAAATAAATGAATTTTTTTTCCTCTATTCAAACTTTTTTTTTCTTATAATTTTTTAACAGTATTTAATGTTTTTTTCTTTATCATTATAGCAGTTGAAAATGGCGGTTTTTGATGTCTCGATTTTCAGATGATTTGATGCGTAAGTTTTTGGAAATTTTCGAGTAAAATTTGACATTTTAAGATAACGGAGTGACCCATGACATTTGAATCTATGAAAATTTGAATTTTAAGCGTATTTTTTTCTATATTATTCCTATAAAATGAATTTTCAACATAAAACATCGCATTTTATTGATTTTGAACACAAATCTTCTTAGCAAGAAAATTTCCAAGAAAATGCGCTTTAATCATCCACCTAAGGTGACTTTCCTACTTGATTTTTTATCCTCTTATAATAAATTTTTTATTTAAATTTCTCAATTTTTTCACTTTTCATATATTTTATATAATTTTCTACCTATTAGGATGTGAATACACATGTCATTAATGAGTTTTCTTACTTTTTTGTGTGTTCTCATCATAGAAAGTGGAAATAGGATGTGGAAGTGGATGTAAGGGTGAACGTTTAATTATTTAAATGGAAATTAATTTAGGTTTATTTTTGATTCTGCGTTGAGTTTATAGATTTTAGAAAAATTTATAGTTTAATACACAAAAATTGTTGAACTTTTTTGAATTTTGAGGTTAGGTTTGATTTTATTTTTGGTATTTCTGGCTAGTTTTTAAGCCATCGACATTTTGAGGTTATAAAGGGGTTGACTAGTTAAATTTGAATCTTATATGTATAAAGTTATTATACTTATAACTTATAAAACTTAGTCGATTTGTCTCTAAACAGTCGCTTGTGTCAGTCACAGATGTTCTTCGGTTAACTTGAAGTTCATAACCTTTGAATTCCCTATTATAACCTCAAAACCAGCCAAACCTAATCTCAAAATCCCTCAATCCAAATCAAATAATACCAACATTTAAATGAAAAATAAACAAAATTTTCCATTTTTATTCTTATTTATCATTTAAGTTAATATTATTAAGTTTTTTTTTATTATCTGTTTATGTTTTTTTTTTTGGTTTGGTTTTCATAAATCTAGTAAAAGGTGGGATAGACAACAATTTTTTTTCATCTTTTTTTCTCATTCTTTAATTTTTTTTGCTAACTTCCACGCGCAAATATGGGTGTTGATGTATTCTTTATTTTTATTTTTTTGGTTTTTTGGGGAAAACGAAATGAATTTTTTAATAACTAACTTAACTTAAATGTAAATTGCTAGAAAAATGTTTGTTGTTTTAAGGACTCTTAAGTTTTAGAAAGCTTTTTAATATGAAAAAAAGTTTAACGAATTCTTTTTTTATAACGATTTTTTGTTTTGGTTTGAAGTACTTTACAGACATTTAATGTTTAATGTTGATGACTTGAATCTCTTCTAGATTCTTCAATATTACGTTTGTAAAAATAATGAATTTTGGGAAAATTGGCGAGCATGTTTGAGCTTATTTGGTTTTGGGAGCTCCTTTTTAAGTTCGGTATCTTGAATTTGATCCAGATAGCTTCTCCTTAAGTTCCATCTTTTAACTTTCAATCATGCTATCTCTTCAGTATCTAAACGGCTTCAGTTCTTATAGTTTCTTTTAAATGCCAATTATTTCCTGTCCAAATTCTTAAATTAACAACACCAAACCCAAGTAACCTCAAACTTCCACTCCTGCGATGTAAATTTCTCATTTTTCATTATTCGAAAATTTAAAATACGTTAATAAATTAATGAACACAAACTTAAACTTTTAAAAATGATGCAAAAACAACAGAATTTCAGTTAAATTTTTAACTTTTCACTTTCACCAGTGTTTCCCAGCTATTTTAAATAAACCTCGCATCAGCGCGGAAGTTTCCACTTTTAAAATGTTCAATTACAGCTGTTTGTCATCTCATTTATTTTCTTCATTTTTAACGCGTTTTTCACAATTTTTAAATCTTTAATTTATTTTTAATCTCATCTGTTCAACTTATGTTTTTGAACTTCCACGCGGAAGAAGCATGGAATTATCTTTATTTATTTAAATTTCACTTAATTTATTTAATTTTTTTTTTGTTTCTATCAATAAATTTTCCTTATTTTCATCATCATTTTTTTAAAAATCTAACTGTATAAGTGTGTGTTGTTGTTCTTGTGTGTTGTGAGACTTTAAACTTCCACGCGCTTATGGCGCAAATTTGGAAGCTAATTTATTATTCATTATTTAATTATTTTCAATATTAAATATTTATAATGTCATCATCTTATTAAATTTTAATAGTAACTCCGGCTAGTCAGCAGCAGCAGCAGTATTAGCAGCATGCCATCACTTATTATAATGATTCGGTAATAAATATTAAACAGCAGTTTCTGTGTGACTATGCGATGATAAGCGTTCGATATCGACTTCAGGTATTGTTAGCTCATCTTGTATGTTGTCTGCATACTCAATTGATGATGCCTGCGATAGGCGCTTGCTAAGTGATGTCTGCTTTCGTAATACTTCAGCTAATGTTGTCGTACTATGCTCACCGTAGCGTGAGTCGAGTCCTTGACGGAAGGCATTCACCACACGAATCTGCTTCGATTTGATTTTTCAGTTCCCGAGTTGTTTTTGGCGTTTATAAAATTTTTTCACAAGTTTAACATTTTTTTTTGTGAAATTGAAACAAAAAACGAAAGAAAAAAATAAAAAAACGAGAATAAGAAAAAAGAAATTTAATTTTTTTTCACTTTTTCTAATGATTTTGTTATTGGTTAAAAAATTTTCAGCGAATATTTTTTGACATCGAGTTGCATAACACATCCAGAGAGCACAAAACACAACACCACGTTGATCTTTATTATGCTTGTTTGCTGCTATTTATCATTTGCATTCTAGTTTTTTTTTACGAATTTTTACATTTAGAAACAAATAGTCAAGGAATGAAGTTATAATTTTAAATTTATTAATTCGCTTCATTTCTGTACTTTTTGTATCTGAAGCTTGTCTAATTTATCTGATTTTGACGGATTGAAATGCTTTTGATGAGAGGAGAGTCAGTTTTCTTTCGGATTAAGTTGAGTATTTGTTGATAAGTTTTTCAAACTAGTAAACTTCAGCTAGTATAACAAATCTAGTACCTCAAATGGCACGAGTCGGTTAATCGATGAGAAATTCGACATCAAGCCTATGTGACTCTGGTATGGTTCTAAATTTAATAAAACCCAGCACCATTCGTGAGTCATGCCTGCTTGGCGATGGATTTCTATTCGATTAACCTGCTGGCGCTATTCGGGTTCATCCAAACTAGTTTATTAAAGCTAATATACTCCAAACAAAACCAGTTCATATGGAACTAGTTTGTACTAGACAAGACTAGTATTGTTCGGTAGACTAGTCTTATAAAACTTAATTAGTAGCTTTAATATACTTTGGATACGCTAGCTTCTGTTCTATCCGAAGTATTCTAGTTCAAAAACGACTAGCAAACTTTAACTTAACAAGACAAACTAATTTGAAGAACCTTTAAACTCAAGTAAGGATCTATCCAATTAATGACCCTATATTGTACCTGGTGTTTTTGTGAAGAATTTAAAAGTAGAAAATATTTTAACCATAATCAAATATTGAAGACAATTCTACTTGAACAATTAAAATATGAAATTTTTGGGGTATTTAAAGGGTCTAAAAGTTCTACATAGATAGAAGATAGATATAAGAAATTGAGCTGAACAGCTTGATTGATTATCTATTGATTACTAAGACAATGAATTCATTGTCATCTAATAAATATTTTAATCATCATAATCAGGTACTAATGGGGACATAAAAGGTATAATTCTAATGATAGATAGAAGAAGAACTGACTCTAAATTCAACTTTCCTCTCATTAAAAGATTTCAAATTTTGTAGAGAAAAATGTCAATCAGAGAATATTCAGGACGACTACGTAAAGCTAAGAAAAACTGGACATAAAATACACAACATCTAAAACAATTGAATTGTTCTACAAAAACATTGAAGAATTCGACAGTAAACATTTCAAAATTGATGCACATTTTGTGAAGATTTTAATATTCGTGTGGAAATCCACAAGCACATCGTGAAAAAAAAATTGTTAGACAACACTTCCATGCGATGGAAGGACTTCTGATAAATTAGATTATTTTTGAGGTTAGTTTTTGAAGGTCGTTTGGATAATTTTGGAGAATTGTGATGAATTTTAGGTTAAGAAGTTTGACTTGGATTCGGAATGAACGTGGATATGAATGGTAAAGGTATGAAAAACCAATAATTTTGTTTTTATATTTTTTTAAGGTTAGCTTTATTATCAATGAAGACTTTGAGGGTAGGATTGTCAATTTTTAGGTTAGGTTCTTTTTTGAGGTTAGGACTGAAACTTTTGAGGCTTGAATTGATAACTTTAACGTTAGGATTGAAAATTTTGAGGTTAGAATTGATAATTTTGAGGTTAGGATTGATAATTTTGAGGCAAATTAATTTATTTGGGTTAGGATTCAAAATCTTCATTAAAATTGCCAAACTCTTAAAAATAATTTGATGTAATTTTTAAACCTCATTCTCAGGCTAGTTTTTAATTTATTATTTTTTTAACCATGTGCAATAAACTGTGCTGAAAGTGGGGAACTTTAAAGAAAGCTTTTTGAATTTTTGTGCATAAATGCGCCTTCATTAACTTAATGGTTTTGTTAACTTATCGAACGTGAGATGCTTTAGATTTAATAATAATTGTTCTGTTAAGCTTAATATCTACCATCTACCACCAAAGTGCTATTGAAATATTCAGTGATTATGTTTATCAGGCAATAAATTCAAATTGTGATCTACCTACTTGCTACTAAATGGACTAAGTCATGCAAATACAAGGTTTTTAGATTTAATTATAATTTAATAAGTCACATGAGATTGTAAAAATTTTAAATTAATATTTTTCAAAAATAATTTTTATAATCCCAATGAAAAAATAAAGGAAAAATCTTATAATAATCATCATCAAAAATGTGAACTTTGTCAGGAATGAAGAACAAGTGGACAACAAACAAATTGGAAAAAGAAACAGAAGTAGAAAGAGAAACAAAGATAGAAACAGAAAGTGGCAGTCCTGCTCTATTACTTTCGTGTAATTTGAATAGTTTATTTGAAATTTGAATTTTTCTAAATTTTTGGGTTTAAAACGAATTTTTTTGAAATATGAAAATCACAAAAAAATTTAAGTTTTCAATTATTTTCGAAGCACCAATAGATTTTAATTAAAAAAAAAATATTCAAGAGTCAAAAATTGCAAAATGAGAAAAAGAGGAAAAAAGTCAAAAAATTAACATGCAAGAAAAATTTTGAATAAAACTGAAAAGTTTAAATTTTTTTAAAAAATAACTCAAAACTCAAAATATATTTGAACACAAAACTTAATAGTTCAGGTAAAATAAAAAAAATAAGTTTTTAAAAAAAATTGAAAATTATTTTCAGGTCTTTTTCAAAACGATGAGTTATTAACAAAATTTTAATCAAATTTTAGTCTGGTCACGAAGGGAAATTTTTCATAATTTGAATGTGAGTTTTCACAAAATTTTCGTATATTTTTGTCACTGTAATTGTTATTGTTGATATGACATCTAAAAACGAACAACAACAAGAAGCAATTGAAGAAAGTGAAGAAAATAGACAAACAAAAGCAAAAAGAGGATTAAAAGTAGCAAAACTCATAAAATTTTGTTGTTTTGTGTGTATTTAGATAGGAATTAAAGAAGAAAAGTATTCGGTGTTGACTTTTGCAATTTTTAATTTTTAAGGACAAAAACTTATTTTCATTAAGGCTTTGGTCCCTTTTAGAAACCCGAAGATGGAGACATTTAAGATGTTTGTAAATGATGTAGCCAAGTCAGTTTATGAATAATAAAAGGGTCTAAACCGGTTTCAATGACGACTTATCCCAAAAAGTCTTGTCACTGTTAAGATAAGCTTGCTTAAAAGCTCAACAGGCTTTTTGAAAACCTTTACTGGAGATGTTATCAAGCTATGATTTGTGAGGACCCACACACACCTAAAAGGATATCTACTCTTGATCCAAGTACACTTCTGTAGCTTCAGCTTCAAACGTAATCTAGAAATTAACACACCCTCGGTACAAAACTCATGGCTACACCCTTAAGCACCGGGATTTATATTTAAAAATTGCAAAATAAACAATATCATTTAAGTTACCCAACCCAATAAATACTACATCTAATATTATCCTTATCAATGTATAAATTATGTTTTATATCAATATAACCAGAATAAAAGTCAAAAATCATACACATTAGGAGATAGACTTGAAACAATAACAGACTTGACACAGGAAAAGAAAAAGATTTTTTTTGTAATTTTGATATCTAGGTGACACGACTCACACAATGAGAATATTAAAGTTTAATATTTAGAGTATATGAAAGTGAGTAAAAGGAAAACATGAATACAAGGATGAATTTTGAATAATTAACATAAAAAATCACACTGATTGGTTAAAAAATAAAATATATTTGATGATAATATAATTTTGGGTGATATCTTAGTTCTTATCAATATAAGTTGATATTGAAGCATTAATGTATTAGCATGACATAGTTATGAAGAATTCAGGGTTTATCCTGTGAAGGTTTTTGGAATTTTTGAGTAAATTTCTTTTTTGAGGTTAGAGATCATCATGGATTTTTTTGCCCTTGGATATAAATTAACTCTGATGATGTTCTTTGACTGAATTCTGAAACTATTATTCCTGGGATAGCTTATATAATGAAGCCGGCTGGAAGATTGGATTTCTCTAATTTTGTAGAATATAAAACTATGCTTGATCTTGATCTTTACTGAATGCAAACTCAATGCAACCTGATAATTTAATCCATACCACAAGATATCCCCAAGTTCCTTACTACAAACCCAACTTAATGTTGCGGAACTGCTCAACATGATCAAAAATGATAAAAATGATCAAAATTGATCAAAATCTAATTTTATCAGTTTCGAATATTTGACCCAACCCAGACACAAAATTGCCAAATATAATAAATACCAGAGCCCAACAACTTCACAGAATATACCCAAAATAAATCCTCAATCACTTAAACAAGTTCTAAATCGAAGGAAATTCGAAAGGTTTCACGCAGTAAAAAGCATGAAAGCAAACTCAAAGCAGCATTTTGTTCTTAATTTCTCTATAACTTATCAATACATAATATTATTTATACAAAGATCAAAAAAATAGTTTCATATACAGCAAGTAGTCATACTTATAATTTTTGCTTATGTTTAGCACACCACAAAAACGAAAACAACTAAAAAGAGATGCCGAAAGCCAGAAATTGAAACTAAAGAAAGGTTTTTGATTCTTTTCAAACTTGACTAATTTCTCTTTTACAAAAAACAATAATGATTAGCAAGATTAGGTGTATTTAGTGTTAGGGTTGAGGGATGTTCTGTCAGATTTATATGATACTTAGAGAAACATATAGTTTGTGGCTGATTATGGTCTCTTTTGCTTAAATTTAAATTTGTGTGACCAGATAGGACCTTAGAAAAAAGAAAGAACACTTTTTGACTAGATTGAAGCATATAGTTTCCAATGTGATCAGTAAGGATCGCAAATATGCCAAAATAGGACTTTGGTTTACCAAAAAGAACCTAAAACACTAGATAAAACTTGAATGAAATCTATATAAGATTATCTAAAACCACAAAAATAAGCATCCATATCCATTTGGTGCCAAAAACGTTATAATAGCTAAAATTCTATATTTAATTTTAAATTATCTAGCATGACAACATGAACTATTCAAAAATATCTACCATAACCTAGAAAAAAAATTCAAATATTACATATTAACCTCTAATCAAGCCTAAATGACTATATAAAAACTTAAAAAAAATCTGACTAAAGCAACCCAACCCACACTCTAAAAATGGACATTAAAGGCATAATAAGGAATAAATAGTGTTAAAAAGTCAAACACAAAAAACGGTTAGAAAAAGTATAAAAACAGAAAATAGGACACAAGGAAAAGCAGCTTACAGCCTGGTCTGTGGAACTCTTGCTGTACGGAACTGGAATCAAGCGCTCTTGCAATTCACCGCCTATCACCTATATTATTTTAATTTATTCATTTTCAATATTCATTTTGTACACATCGCCCCGCATCAGCATCGTCGAGAGATTTAAAAAGAATTTTTTTTTCAGGATTTTTGAAGGGATTTTAAAAAATTTGATGTGAAAAATAATGAGAGAAAGAGAGAGAGAGAGAGAGAGAGAGAGAAAGAAAAAATATATATGATGTTTAATGTGTGTTGGTGGAGAGAGAGAAGAGAAGGGAAGAAAAAAGAGAGAGAAATATTAAAAATTTGTCTTTTCTTAAAATTTAAAAAATCTTTTTTTTTGCTTAACATTTAATACAAAATCAGTTAAAAATTAAAATAAAAAATTGGGACAAAAAAAAATATTTTTGAGGATATTTTTAAAGGATAGTTTAACTTAAAAATTTAAAAAATTTCCATTTATTAGGCAAAATACAGAGGAAGAGAGATAGAGACAGTGGGTACAGATAAAGTGAAAAAAGTTGGCAATTATTGCTTTTTGTTGTTTTTCATTTAATTCATTGGTTTTTCAATATTTTAATAATGTTTCTTCAGGATATAAGGTTTAATTGTTCCTGGATAAAGGAAGTGCAGTGTTTTTGGATTTTTATAAGGTTAAATATTGCAGAAAATTGTTTTTAGAAAATGTAAAAATTTTCTTAAAAACTTCAAGGTAAATTCAACGACAATAAAAAAAACTTAAAGTGACCAAATTTTATTTTTTAAATATTTGTAAAATTAACCATAAATTTAAAATATTTTTTTTTTCTAAAATAAAAGTAAATTTTTAAAGTTCAGATAGTGGAAATTCAGGGTTAGTGTCATCCTGATGAAATCAAAGATTTAAGAGATATTTTAAATTTTTTCAAAATTTCAAAACAGAAATAATCAAAAAAAGTTTAAGAAAAATAAATATTAAAATGTTTTTATTTGAAATTCAAAGTAGAAGAAAGAAAATTTGAAGAAGTTTGAAATTTCAACAATAGAAAAAAGATAATAAATTTTGAAATTTGACCAAATATTGGATGCCAGAAGTGTTGGTGTCATTTGTGGGGAGTAAAAAATTTAAATAAAAAAACATAAAAAAAAGTATTAAGTTTTCTTCAATGTTTATATAATTGATTATTTGTTAGGATTTATAAGAAGGAAGAGTTTAAATATTTATTAATTGATTTATTTGATGTCGTTTAATTAACCTTCAATATATAAGATTTAAATAGGTTAACCGGAGTAGATGCATTTATAAAATAAGGTAAAGGTAATTATTTTTTCGTGCAATATTCTTTCATTTTCACCCTTAGTTATAATAATTCAGAATATATAGTCACTTATGATGACCAATATTAGGAGTATTAAGATGTCGATGAAGTTTTGTTAATAACTAAGTTTACAGATATTTTAAATTCCCAAAAAACTATAATTATTATTTTAAATACTTATATATTTTAAGACTATTATGAAATAACCTCAAAATTCTTTTTTAATATTATGTAATTTTGCCAATTATTTCTTTCTAGATTTCCAGAAATAAAACAAATGATTCCATCAAAATGCCCCTTATAAACTAATTTCAGTCACATTCACATGCATTATTTACATTTATAAAATTTTTTTAAAAAAATTCAATTTCGATTATTTTAAATTTTTTGAAACGCTCTTTTTTATTTTTTCAATTTTAATTATTTCAGTTATTTTAGCAACATTTAGTTATAATTAATATATGTATTATCAACTTTTAGCAGGAAATTTACAAACTTAAATTTAAGCAATTTTTTATATTTTTTTGCATTTTAGAAAAATATTAAATTTTATTCAAAGATATCTGAACATTTTATTAAATATATTTGGGTGTATACAACAACAATGGATATAATGAGTTTGGCTGTACATTTTGGGTGAGGTACATTGAGGGCAAGGGGGTTTAGAGGGTCTGCAAAAGGGGTTTAATGCTGGTTCTTTATGATTTTACTTGATAAATTTTTGATAAATATCTCTGAAAATGTTTTGAATTTAAAGGTGGACACCCTTATGGAACTAGCTAATAAATTGGTCTCTGTAATTGAAGCTCGTTTGAGTCATGACTCATGAGGCGGAATTTTTATATAAAATAAAATAAATACTTTGATCTATGTGAGCCTAAGGCGCAGTAAAGTCAACCAAATGTTTCAAATTTCAAAGCTTTTCGTGCAATTTATTTTCCATTTTTGATAATGGAAACTTTACAACCCAATTGAAAATTAATTTGGAATGAATGAAAAAATTCATAAGGGTATGAATTTCAGTCATTAAATATGGTCAATAATGTTGGTGATTTATGTAAGAATCTATTAAATTATGGAGAATGGAGGTTCATAAATGCAGTTTCGACCATTGGAATGAAATTTTTCAATCTTTCGAATGTTCAGAATTTTAAAAATGTCGAAAAATTTGAGGTTATGATTTTAATTTTTTTTAAAAATTTCCACAAACTTTTCGACCCATTTTCTCATTTAACATCAATTCAAATAATTTATAAGCATTTTATGGTTACAGTTTTACTATGACTAATACATGAAATGTTAAACAATAATTTAAGAAGAAGTAAAGGCATAGATTTTTTAGAATTTTGGACATTTTGCTTTATGAAAGTTTTTAATTCTTAGTTTTTTAATTCAGTATCCTTCCCTGGTATTAAATAGTTGCAAAATTGTTCCAGGAAAAATTATTTATTAGCATTTTATATTTGAATTTTCAAGATTCAGACAGGATACTTTAATTTGAGTTGTTCGTTCTGTTTTTCAATTATTTTGCAATTCGCAGTAAAATTCTGAACGTGACTTAGATGCCTTAAATTTAGCTTAGCAGCGTTCAATGGTGATTTTTAAATTTATTACTACTTTTATTTCCGATAAATTATTTTTGAATAATATTTCTTTTATTTTTTTATTTTATATTATTTATATGTGTATGTATGTGCGAAAATGTTTATTTTATTAACATATCAAAAATAGTAAAGAAATGCATTTTTAAAAACTTATTTTTAAACAGTTAATAAAATTAATTAATTAATTCTGATGTATTTTTTTTTGTTGGAAGATGTTCGAAAAACTTCCACGCTGAACTTCTTAATGATTTTTTTTATTTTATTTATTTTTTCATAAATTATTAATTAAAACATGTGATTGAGATAGTTGGAATCTTCAAAATTCACTTTTGTGCAAAGTAAGTACATTTATTGGTTTATTGTATGCTTGATTGTTCATTCACTTTGGACTTCCACGTGAGGGCGATGCATGGAAGTTTGATACGTAAGTAAAGATGTAGATTGATGAAATTGAATTTAAAAAGTGATGAAAATTCTTCAAGTTTGTGAAAGTTTTCAGTGGTTGCAGGCTCTAGAGATGTTTGCTATAAACTTCCAGGTGCAGTTAAGAGTTTTTGAATTTTCTTAATCTTGCTCAAAGTTTTATTTTTGGGTCGTTGTTTTTAAAATGTAAAATCAGAATTTGAAAAAAGGAAGGAATTCTCTTAACTTCCAGGCGGAGAGGTTCTTAACTTCTTGGTGAAAGAATTTTCAAAATTGAAAACTTTCTTGAATTTATTATTTTAATCAAATTATTTGCACAGGATGCATATTCTATTATTGTTTAAGTTATAGTTGCGTGCTACGATATTTATAAATATTTTTTTTTATTAAAATTTCACAAATTTTGCCTTCATCTTCTTCTCCAAATTTTCATCATAATTCAACTTGTGCTCAATCTTGGTAATTTATTTTATAACTAGATTTTAATCTTCTGTGCTTGATTTTGAGAGCTTTGAACCTTATTAATTCTGAACTGAATTATGGGATGTTTGTCGACTAATGGTGGGCAGCTTATGTTTGCTGAAAGGTTCCACAGAGTTTAGGAAGCTTGCCAAATGACAATAAAACTGTTAAAATTCTAATGGCTAAACTAGGAACCTAAGTTCACCAATAATTGACTCCATCAGGTTAATCTTAACTTCATGTTGGCTCTATTATACCATCAGTTCCGTCACTTAACTCTAATGTTAGTTCAAAGCCCCCCAAAATTAAGCACAAAAGCAGTTAGAAGTCCAAACTTCCACGCGGTAACTGGCAGCTTTACTCTAGAATACTTTTAATCTAGTAACAAAAAATGAGCATGTTTAATGAAATTTCTCAATTCATCTACTTTCTATGAGGATTCATGAAATGAACAATTTTTTCAATGATTTTTTTAGTTTTATTACTTTTTTTGTATAATTTTGTGGTAACTTAAAACCCTCAAAAAGTTTGAATTCCTTTTTAAATTCGTGTTTCTCGTGATTTTTCATTTCGGTCATCGGGTGCGTCATCATCGATATAATGGAATGTCTCATGATGTCCCATAACAGGTACGGGAATTACAATGTCACCCGGTGGAGATGTATCGCGACTTGAATGTTTGTAGAATGGCTGTTTATTGAACAAGTATGCGCCTGGTGTGTTTGCTTGAATTGGCATTCCTCGATAGCTTCTCAAACTGTGAATTGAACGGCGATCCTCCAAATCTTCCAGGTTCGACTTGAATGCACGAACAACGCGCAACTGCAAGCAAAACAGTTTTTTTGTTTTTTTTTTCTTCGACATTTTTTTTATTCGAAGTTTTTTGCAAATTTTTATGTTTTTTCTTATTTTTTGGTCTAACGGAAACTTCGCGTTTTGGTTCATTTTACGAGTGAATAAGAAAATTATGTTAAAAATCATAACGAGGGAAAAATGAGGACATAAACTTTTGAATTTTTCGGGTGAGTTTTATGAAAATTGTGAATAATTTTGGTAAATTTGAGGTGAATTTTAATTAATTTCAAACAAATTTTAGTCAAAACAATTCACAATTTGCCATTTTTCCGCCAATTTTTCAAAATTTTAAATCAAATGATCCGAAAAAAATTTAAAAATATTTTTAATTACTCAAAGCGGGGGTTGAACATGCAAATTATAAAATAATTAATCAAAAAATATCAAAAATTTTAACAATGAGCCAA